CTCAGACTTTGTCCTTTTTGCCAGTGATACTCATTTGGAACTAGGAGAGGAAAAAAGAGATAGTGTCATTTTATAGCTCAGTTTTAAGTTTCTCATATAAACCATCCTGGTCAATCATGTCTGTGTGTCCATTCCAGCGGTGATAGGCAAGGAGCGCAGCATTGTAGGCTGCAATGGCGCTCATTTCCATGGCACTTGCTGCACACTCCATGCCATTGATGTAATACAGTCGATCGTGAAGTATGATGGAGGGGCATTTCTCTGGGGGCTCATAGTGAGGATATGCAAGCCATGGCTTCTTCACAGCATCATCATAGGACAAAAAGAGCTTTAAAATTTGTGCTTCAGTAAGAGTTTCTGGGGAAAACATCTTCCAAACATATGTTCCATCTGTTGATGGTTGAGGATTTTCCTTTTTCCTTACAGAGTACATAGTCTCAAGACTGTTAATGAATGAATCTGAATTATCGGTGGTTAAAACTGTACCAAGGCCAAAGTTATCCATGGGCCGAGAGCTAAAGACAGATGAATTCAATTCTCCCTTAACTAAAGTTGTCACTATATGTTCGTAGTTTTGATGGAATTCCTCAATTGGAGGATCAAAGTTGAGAAAAGTAATATTGGACATTTTGTGATTCAACGGAGTGGCCACCAAGACGATGTCATAGAAGTCTGAACGGGTCCCAGATCCAATTTGGTAGACCACTTCATACATCTCTGTGGGATTTCCTAGAGGGAATAAGGAAGCACATATTTCTTTAGTGTTTCCAACATACTATATTTTATACCCCCTAAAAATAATTCTATACCTTCTTAATAGTGTCTGTAATTCTAAGGAATTAAAGGAGTTTTATCCTTTAAGATAACTGTCCCTTGCATTTATATTACATTGAGGCCAGTTTTCTATTCAGAATGTCAATAAGTTCAAAATAAGGAATTTTTACTTTTGAGAATGAGATTATTTTTTAAATCCAAGGAGTCAGGCCACTGCACTTGAGTACATTTGGGAATACTTCTACATGGCACAACATAGGCAAATTAGACTTCCATCATTGTTGGCACTGAGTGAGAGATGGCAGAGAGAGGTTTTCCTCCCTGAGCAATCATTTTCTATAGAGAAAATGAGAAAGAAAATGAAAGTTAAAGCTTACCTGTCTGCTTGGTCCTTGTTTTCTCCTCTATGTACATTACTGAGCCAGATATAAGATTGCTTTTGGAAGCCTGAAGGAGCCCTGAGCAAACAAGCTTATTGCCACCTTCTACTGCCCAAAGGCCAGAATCAGAACAGGACAGTGACACTGCCCCTGTAAGCAGGAGGAAAAAATGTGTTTTAATTCTGAATCTGTAAGAGATCCCCTACCCAACTCTCTGCTCCCAGTTAGATGTTCTGCTCTAAATGTCTCCAGACATTGAAAAATGGCCCCTGGGGCCCCCACTTGAGAATCACTGAACTTAGGAAAGCTAATGACTCTCTCTCCCTAAAAATACACATCTAGATATATAAAATTTTGCTAATTTTGCTAATGTTCACAGAGAGGCAGCCTTCCCCAACCTTGGCCTAAAGTCAGGAGCCACGACAGCATCAGGTGAACCCCTTTGTGAACTAACATCCACCATGGTTCCAAGCCCTGTCTTACCTACAAAAGCATTGAGGCCTGTGCTTTGGCCAAAATTGACCCTCATGACAGGAGCAACCATTTCATCAAGGAATTTCTCAGAGAAGCCTGCTTTCTGGAAGGTTTCAAGAAGTGTTCGGTTAAGCAGTCCAAGGAATTCATCCCCTCCTATAGCATGTAGTAATTTTTCTACACTGCTGAAGGCATACTCATGAGATTGGTAGCGGTAGATCCTTTTGAAAAGAAGAAAAATGGCCATTAAACACCAAACAAGAAGGGGATGTATACAGAAGGGAAATAGTGTCATAAGAACCAAACTGACTTCCATATTCCCTCCTGATTGAGTTTCTTTCTATCATGTGAGATACAGCTCAGAGATCATCTTCCCTAGCTCTCCCAGACAATCGTGGCCCTCCACCTCCTCTACAAGTCCATTGTCCTTTGTATACACTCTTGTGTTTCTGCAGTAATATGATCACTGGGAGCACCTTCTCATTCTTCTTTATATCTTAACAGCAGCACCTTAGACATGTCTAAAATTAAATTTTGTCTTTCCACCAGGCTTGATCTCCATTCACCCCATCTCAACCTAAAATAACTGGCCACTGCTAACATCCTATTTGTCATCCTCAGTTTATTTAGTTTTAAAACTTAAACATTTTTCACATCTCCTTTCTGCTTCTCCCACCCAAGAAGGAAACCTTAACAATCTTCCTAATATCTTTTTACTCCATTCTGACTTCCCTATCTTAGATTAGGATTTATACTCAAACTACTAAAGTGAAATGATCTACCTGCTTCTAGTTTCTTTTTGAAATATTTATAAATCTCCCAGAATTCCTAAAGTATACCTCTTTTATGTCATCATTCATTTATTTAAAAAAAAAAAAACTCTTGTTTTTGCTTACTAATAAAGTCCAGATCATGTAGACTGCTATAAAAAAACAACCATGAGGCCGGGCGCCGTGGCTCACACCTGTAATCCTAGCACTCTCAGAGGCCAAGGTGGGCGGATTGTTTGAGCTCA